ACAAATAAGATAAACAGGTGTCTGACAGTCATTTTCAGGCCCAGAAATTGAAAAGTAAACAAGTGTAAAATAACAGTGCATATTTCAGTGTATTAATTAAAGACCAATCCTTGTTGAAGTTGCAAAAGCTATTCAGTCAAGAGCAGCGAGTGATTTCCTCGTCTTCTGTTGCTTAACATTAAAAACACAGACAGCAGAAATAGACTGCGGTTCCTCACAGATACTGACACACGTGTCGTCTTCCTCGACTGTTGACGTTCACTTTAGACATGACCAACAAGGTTAGCAAGGGTACTCACAAAGACGGGCATGTTGACATATCTTTTGTGTTAGTTTATACGTATGGTGGGTGGTGTATCGTGGTGTTTCGGTTCGATTTGAATATCATTACTCCCCTACCTAGCGCACATTCAGTTTCACAGTCAAATGTCATTTGCAGCTTCATGAGAAGTGTGTCATCAGCACTGAGGCGGGTTTTCATCTGTTTGCATGTCAGAGCTGAAAACACTCTGACCTCAGGCTAGAGGAACAAACCACACAAAACACGGCACACTACAGCAGAGAAGCTTCTTCTCAAAGAGCATCAGAAAATCAGCAACGTGTGTTAGAAAAGCACACAGTGTTCAACTTGATAAATTCCTGTGTCTGACTTGCGATCAGTGTTGTTGGTAACACACTACAAGTAATCAGATTACTTTTTCAAGTAACTAGTAAAGTAATGCATTACTTTTTAATTTACAAGAAAATATCTGAGTTAGTTTTTCAGATCAGTAACACCAGAACTTAGTTTCCTCGTGTACTGACTGACAGCTCTCCAGTGCTCATGTTGAGAGAATCAGGAGTGAGTTCAGTTCAGAAGCGCTGTGTGAACAGGATCTTACTGTAGTTCGAGACTAAATGTCAACATGCATTTACTCATCTCACTCGCACAAAAACAGATTCAGTATTCCTCGAAATGAATAAAAACAGTGAAATGCAAACTCAGAATATGAAGCAAACCTACAACAATTAAATTTGGTAAATAACACAGATATACTTTATGCATTTAATCGCATTTTATTAACCAGTGTCTGTGCTGCTGACTTTTGATGATCCGACTCAACCGTACTAATAAGCAAAAATTACTTTAGATTAGGGATGCACCGATGTATCGGCCGCCGATATTTATCGGCCGATTTTTCCTCAATTTACAACCATCGGCATATCGGCTATATAAGGAAAAAGGCCGATATAACAAACCGATGGTTTATTAATTAACTGCGTGAAGGCACTGAGCTGTATAATGTCTGTAGCATAATCCTAGCGCTGCTGTCTGCACTTTAATGCTAATCAAATAACAAAAGATCGCACACTATTCTTGACTAAATAACTCAAGTGTAGCGGACCTCATCTGAATGATGACCAAAACTTTACTGATGTTTTATTAAGTTTATTGCGTCCTTTTTCACTCCAAAAAATCACCACAAGAGCTAAACAAAACACAGCACGAGAAGTGCACATTAAACTCCCTCTCTCTCAGTTGCATTATCATCAACATACAGCGAATTACACTTATAAACACTTATTACAACTAACAGTAAACAAATATATCCAGATCTCAGGCCTTTTCGGGGGGTGCTTAATAAACTGACAAACTTTAAATCTGAAGAACTGCGTGCTTTCATTACCCATATAACGCCCCCGCCTTGGTAATCTCATACATATTTTAACTTACAAAAAAATATTAAAATGTATACAAAAAACAAATTTGAAGATTAATCATAATAAAGTCTGTTACAATAAAGAAGGACTATATGTATTTATTTGATTTATACAGTGAAGTGTTATTTTACATTTGTTTATTTTATTTCCTGTACTGTTAAACCTTCCTAAAAAGCACTGTTTATTTAATATGCATCTTTGTTCTGTTGTATTTATGTAGGCCTGCTGAATGTTAAATGGATCCAATCCATGTTCATTAGAAATTATTTGATGATGCAGCAATAAAACTGCTAGTATAATTTAATGCAGGTGTTTTTGAACTTTGCTGATTTAAAACATGATCAAAATACTATCTATTTTGATGCCGAAATTTCAAATAAGAGAGGAAGTGACAAATATCAAGTATCAGTATCGGCCAATAAGTGTTTGTTAAAATCGGTATCGGTCCCAAAAAAATGTTTATTGCTGAAGAGAGAAAAATGAGCCCAGCCTAGATGAGAAAAAGTAGCACAACACATTACTTTCCAGAAAAAGTAACTAAGTAACACAATTACAGAGTAACACAATATTGTAATGCATTACTTTTAAAAGTAACTTTCCCCAACACTGGTTGCGATGAAGTTTGCGAATGTTTGTTTGAACTGTGGTTTGAGGAAACACTGAATCGTTGAACTCTGTTGTACATAGAACATAGTTGGCTAACGATGGTTTTGGGAAACACGCCTCAGGATGCTCGACTACTCATCCAAATACTGATTAGTCAACTCTACCTCTATTCTAAGCATCCTCACTCTATCCAATACCTACTGAAACCGAGGGGGTTCGTTTGGCACCCAAGCCGAGCCCCTTCTGCTAGAACAGCAATCCAAATCCATTCAAGTCATTAAGACTGGATGGGCAGGTGAGCTGAGAGTTGTCATCCCGATCCCCTTCATTCACCTGCTTCTTCTGTTCACTCACTACCCACAGAACATCCTCATCCATGCAACTGTATTTGTGTGCGGCACACGCAAAATAAGAGAGGAGGGTCTCAGTGAAATCTGACCGCATGAGGAAACCCCAAACATGACCGCTGTGTTTCCGTAACTAACCCTCAGCAGGTAAAGCTGTGAAATGCTGAATGCTCTGCTGCAGTCGACAGTGTATTTCAGGACTGTGGGATTTTAGATGTCCCGCTGTGAGCCGTGTTCCTGTTATCATCCACAGGTTTACTTATGAGGAGTTGTAAGCCACAAAGTAGATGTTTCACCCACAATCTTCCTCATCTCTCAGATATAAGCTGCATGTGGAGCGAGGATCGAGTGCATCATCATTCTGCATACGGGAAGTGCAGTCTTTCTCATGAGACCCTTGATAGTGTTGTGCAATAAAGGGAATGATGTACTTATAAGTCTATTTATTTGTTGAATATCTGTCAGGTGATCTGTTGAAGAGCTGTGCATGAATCAATAAGAAACAGGTTGACTAATGGTGCATTCAAGTCCTCCTGGGAAGTTTGTATTTATGAGTTTGTAAGCTGTAATAATTACAACATCCAGTGTGTTCAAATAACTTTGGTCAGAGCAAGATCACGGTGTACCTCTTCTGTATCAATTCAACACAACTCTACGTCTACAAAATGATGAATAAAAATGTGCATTGGCTGCGTTTTGGCTTTTTATGTTTATATTTGATTTATGAAGGTGTTGTAAATTGAATCATTATTTTGTCATGATTGTACACTATTGCACCATGCAAATTTGTTTTATTGTAAATGAAAAATTATATTTTCATTAATTTTAACAAATCAACACAGATGCTGCATCCACTGCGCTCAGCATGTTTTCTTACTGGTTTTCCACTGGTAATTAGATATATTAGTTTTCCAAAAAGAGGACAGTGGGTGCAGGGTGGGGGGGCTGGGGTGGGGTGTGGTTGGTGGTTAAAGTAGCGCCCAAACTAGCGCAATGACCATATCCCAAATATCAACGCTATATCAAAATATCAAAAATATGTCATTTCCATACCTAAAAAAATACATATTTTACAGTCACTGTTGTGCATATTGATCATAAACACAGCTAAAAAGCTTCCTATTAGTGGTCCTATTTACAAAACAAATCTAGCACAGTTTTATCATAGGTAGAATGTAAACTTTTCAATACAAGCATTTCAGTCAAATGTAATTTATGCAACATTTCAAACATTTAACCCACAGGGGGAAATCAAGCCATGGCAACTGTTTAAAAGCATCCCAATTCTAAGGGGGAAAAAAAGTGGACTTGACAACCCTGCATCCAACACGAGCTGCAGGAGTCAGATTTGACTGATCACGGGTGGAGAGGAGAGGAAAAGATCATGCTGGAGGATTTGCTGCTCAACAGATCCTGAGCTCACTGACAAATATCTGATCTTCCTGTACACAGTGATCGCGAAATCGAATGTGAACAGCGAGCGCTCATTCAAAAGAGATTTAAATACCCCGCACATTGAACATTTTATGCAATATTACAATGTTTGCGGGAGCACTGGACACAAAAATCACAGGAGCGGGTGATAATGGTCAAAAATTCAGCGGGAGCAGGATTAAGAAAACAGTCCCTCTCGGGGTATTAATATTCATGAGCCTTTTCCATAGAACTACTGCTACATCCCGCAAAATGAATAAATGCAAATAAATGAACCAAGAGGAAGCAGTGCAGCTAGTAGAGACGCTGAAACGGATCTAGGCGCCCCTGCAGTGCAGTGCATCGGTCTTCAGAGTGTTTATCGGAGAAATAACCTTCTTAAACGTGACTAACCGCTGAGCCCCGTCTGTGTGTGTGTGTGTGAAGCGCTCGTGCAGCAGTCGGTGCATCGCCACTCACCCGTCGCGCAGCTCCGCAGTTTCTCCAGAATGCGCCATGTGTGCACCGCGCGCCGAGGTTCCCGCGAGCTGAGATGTGCAGATAAGAGACGATAATCCCAGCCAAACCGGAGCTCATTCATGAAACACACTGAGCCCCGTCTGTGTGTGTGTGTGTGTGTGTGTGTGTGTGTGTGTGTGTGTGAAGCGCTCGTGCAGCAGTCGGTGCATCGCCACTCACCCGTCGCGCAGCTCCGCAGTTTCTCCAGAATGCGCCATGTGTGCACCGCGCGCCGAGGTTCCCGCGAGCTGAGATGTGCAGATAAGAGACGATAATCCCAGCCAAACCGGAGCTCATTCATGAAACACACACACACACACACACACACACACACTTTTCTTCCCGCGACCAAAAATAAAAGTATTAAACTTGCACTATGAAAGGTTTATTAAGAGAAAGAAGAAGAAGAAACAACAAAATTCTATTATTGACCGAGTACACATTTGTACGCTGTCGAGTCAGTTTTGGCAGCAAACTCTCGTCTATGTGACTGGCTCTTGTATGTTTGTCGTGTCCGTAAACACAAAAGAAGGTCTGTTTACAGTGTGGCATGTGTGAGTGCTGACTTCAGCATCAGTCATCAAACCTTTTTACTTGTATGACTCATTTCCACAATAATTAAGTTTTTTAAATACATCTTACTGTTTTAAAAATGTACATTTACTACACTCTGTGCTATCTTACCATGGTATTAAATGACTAAAACCTGCTGAGGGTGTCACGAGTCCGGTCCATGAACTTCCGTCCACTTGCCACCCGAGGTCCCGTGATATTGACTCTCACACCACACAGACTGTTACACATCACCCTGGACTACATTTCCCATACTCCAGTGCACTAATCACAAGCTCACCTGAAACCAATCACACACAGCTGCTACCAATTACACACACTATATAAATCAGTATCATACCACCCTTCAACACCGAGTACTGTTTAGCGTTTATCTCTCATCTGGCGATAGCTACTTTACGGAGCCATTCCAGGTTTCTGAATCTAGTATAGCCTTGTTCTTAGTCTGTTTACCCGTGTCTCGATCCTTGCCTGTTATCTCGTTTTGTCTGATCTCTGCCTGTCCTGAAGTTTATAGCCTGTTCTGGATTTACCCTTTGCCTTGCTGTTTCGGACTGTGTTTGCACCTCGCCTGGACCCTAGCTCGTCTTGTGGATTCCCCGTTGGCCTTGCCCTCAGGATTACGTTCGCCGGAGATCGACCACGCCCGTTTACTGGACTACTCTTGTGTCTTGCCCTCAATATACCTGTTTGCCATTGTTTGACCCATGCCTGTTCTGACCACGTCTGACTAAAAGCCTGCAGATGGATCCGCTCGTCTCGTTCGCCCCGTAACCGAGGGAGTGAAAGTAAATTTGTCAAATCTTTTTTTTCTCTTCCGATCTTTGTAATTTCTGTCTATAAATTTGTCATTGAAACACAATAGTGGATTTTGTTTTCCTGTTGGAGCAAATGGAAACAAACATTTTGTATTTGTCATGGTCTCCCATTCACCATTGAAGAAGTTTACCCATCTGTGTTCATTTTGACAGCAAATTTAGTTTTAGTCAGTCTTTTGACTAAAATGCCATTTAATTTTAGTCATCTGAATTGTTTTAGTTGACTAAATCTACCGTAAATTTAGTCAGGTAAAACCTAATGGGTTTAGTTACAGTGCATTTCTCTAAAATTTCCAAACTCATTATATAGGTTTGATATTAAGGTTTTATCATGATAGACACTGATTTAACTGCTGTGACACACAATATGCCTTTATGTTAAAATTAAATAAAACCACTTCTCATAAAGAACAAGAACACGGTCTTCTTATTAATGAAATACCAATGGTTATATCGGCTAATTATGCATTCTTTATAGCAACTTGTTTACCATATTCTTTCAAGCAGACATATTTATTTCTATAAATTAATCTTTAGGGCTACTAAAGTTTTTCAGTGAAGAGCAGTGAGTGATTTTTCTGTCTTTCTGTTGTTGCTTGATTAACATCAATGACTCGGACAATAGCAACTAAATTAGGCTGCTGTCCCTTTAAAACCGAATGCACCGCTGCAAAGTAGGCATTGTACTGATACACTTTCTTCCTACTGTTTACGTTCACTTCAGACGTAATCAGCTGTGTTTAGGTGAATACTCCTCAAAACGGACAATTCAACATCATTTTGTGTGTAATTCTCCGTTCATGCGACGTGAAAAATACTCACGCGCTGTGAGAGGCGCTTTCTGTGTGTGTGTGTGCTTCAGTGTCTGCGCTCAGAAAACCTGACCGAATTGAGTTCTCTCTTGCGTCGTCAGATTTATCCATATGTCTGCTCTTCTCTTACCGCCACATATTGACATTTTTTAACATTTTATGTGACGTGCAGCAAGTGTATGTCCCGCCGGTTCATATGTACGTATCTAACCTCCGAACCACGCAGCAGATTCCTTCTGAATGAATCTCATCCCAAATCGTCGCTCCCTAACATTTTTGTATCGTTTTTATTCGTTGACGAAAATGTCAATAGATTTACGTCATAGTTTTTGTCATTCAAAAAGGGTTTTAGTTCGTTATCTCCTTGTCCTCTGTGAAAAAAAAAGTCAAATTAACACTGATCTGTGGTGACTAACACGTCTGAGAACCCTGAAAAAGAGAGAAGGGTGCAAGACTAGTTAGTACTCACCACAGTTTGAAATGTGAAAAAAGTGGGTGAGTTATAGACTTCAGTCTGATTAGCACCATTTATTTATTAAATTATTTAGACAGGAGTGAAAACGAGGCTGTGAGGGATGGAAGCACAGTGTGTTCAATAGATTGTACTGTAATTTAACAACATACCAGCTGTTCAACTGAAAAAAAAAAACACTTTCAGTTGACAAAAACTCTATAAAACCTTGTGAGTGTTGAAAATGACATGTGATCTATGATCTTTATACAGTGTATGTCACTGTAAAGACTGAAAGGCATTCAGGCCGCAGGCAGAAGTGGCCCAAAATTGATTTTCTTTGCTCATAACAGTATGAACAGCACAAACCACACTCCATATGTGGTCCTAAACCAGATACAGTTGTTTGCAGTGCGACCTCAGTCTCAACAGTCATAACAGAACTAATGCGGCTTCTACACCATTCTAGACACTTGTCACAATTCTGCACTGGCGTGTATTATCGGGTAGTTCTTTGGAGGACTGACAGTGGAGCGACAGTGAGGTTTAAGACTAATAAGTAATTGAGGTGACAGCTCCATGCAAGCCAAACCTGGCAAACAAAACTTTCTGTATTGTGAAATTATATTTTTATTTTGTAATTTTACTCTGGCTGCTGCTGTCTGACCAGGTTTACAGTAGAATTTACAGCAAATTCTGAGAAAATGTAATGGCACGGCCTTTTTTTAACGTAGCTGTGCCAACACTGAACTTGAAAACTTAAAAGGTACACTGTGAATAAAATGGCCATGAGATTTAAGAGCACTATCTTACTATAAAACACTGCATTATGATTAGTGATCGCTTTGGCTGGGAAGTAACAGTAATCACAGGCCAGTTGCAAAGCTTAACCTCTATGTTAAGACAGGGTCTTAAGAACTAGTCAGACCAACTAGCTGTTAGCCAAGGTGTAATCAGTCTTATTTTTTAAATTCAGATTAATTTAATTCATTTTTTTAGAATACTTGCGGTGCACAGCAATGCAGCGGCTTCTCAATTATCAGCAAGTGTCCTACAAAATTGTGCGGTGAAGTACAGTTTATCTGAACTTCTTCAACTCAATAATCCCAAGACAGTGATTGAACCAGAGAAGCCGTTTTGGGCAGACCATGGCCCCTGAGGACAGTAAGCTGGAGGAGCAATACACACCGGCGAAGGGGAGGGAGAAAGTGGTGTGTGCGAAGGCAGAAGTAAAGGCCAATAACAGACCCACTTTTCCAACTCTCTTCACAGCTAATGTTCGCTCGCTTGACAACAAGTTGGATTTACTGCAACTCCGATTGAGCAGCTATAACGAAATGAGGAACTGCTGTGTACTTTTGTTAACTGAGATGTGGCTTAATAACAATATGCCAGATTCGGCTTACCATATTGCCGGGTTAACCGAAATTATTTGTCATGAAGGAGGACTCTGTGTTTACATCAACAGAGGTTGATATATGAACTGTTCTCCTGTAAGAAGCTACTTGTCACAATCTCATATCACCTCAGCACTACATTTCCAGGAATCCTTCCTGGCTCCCACCTGCGCGCACTCTCCAGAGTGTTTATTGTCATTCCTGACAACGATCATCTAATCACTCAGCTCATGCTTTCAAAGACTTGTTTACCATCCAGTCAGTGTTTAGCCTCATATATGGACATCAGACCTCTGGGGAATATCTCTGCTGTGGTATTTCTGACCAAACACTAAGTTAAGTGCTGTTCTTTATTTTCCTGTTGATTCCTTAGACAAGAATTATCAGTTTTACTCACCTGAAGTGCTGGTCTTTGTGTGCTCTGTTGAGAGAGATATCTGTGTTTTGTTCTGATTTAATGTGATAAAGTACTGGAAGTGTTCTATAATAATTTCTTTGTGTTTAAATAAATCCCGCACATGAGTCCAGATATCTCTCATCTCTCTTTATTTGTTACAGAAGGGTAGAACTCTCAAATGGACTCAGCAGAAGATATACTGTGCTCCATCTTTCAAAATGGATAGGCAATCAAATTCTATGTGGAGGAATTCCTGCAATATAGCCACCTTTGAATTTGGACTGACCAACAATTGTTGGATCTCTTTTGGAGTGGGCTGGACCCACACAGGGTCCCTTGGATGCCAGTAGGTGACTCTTACTTCAGCTTGGAAAATTATTTGGATATGGCGCTTGTAGTGTGGCTCTCCCTTCACGGTTGGTGAGGTCTCATAGCCCAGTACCCAAATAAAATCAATCAGCCGAGCCAAGTCAAAATCCCTTTATTCTAAACTTACCTACGAGTTTGCTCCTGCCCAAGAGTCTGTTCCAGTCAACACCCATCCAGATTCCATTCCAGTCAAACCACTTCCAGAGGCCATCCCAGTCAACATTTACGAGAGCCCAGAGTCAGCCTCTGGGTTCCCACAACTAGGGCCAGGAAGGCTGTTTCAATAAGTATGGATCTAATTATCAAATTAGTAGACCGCCAATTATGTCAGCTTGGTGTGGCAATGAAGAAGGTCTCCACTTTACCAATTCCTTCCCCATTCCTAACATCGGCTCCAGCTCCTGAGCACAGTCCAGTGCCGGCTCCAGCCCCTGAGTCTGTTCCGGAGAGTGAAGCCCCTGAGTCCGTTCCGGAGAGTGAAGCCCCTGAGTCCGTTCCGGAGAGTGAAGCC